AGGAGGGCCTGGCGTGCTCTGGTCCAATGGAGTCACGAAGAGTCGGACACGACTTAACAACTAAACAACAAAATACTTGTAAAACATATGGGAACCTTGTTTGCATTAATTTTACTTCAATTCAGTCATAGAGGGCAAGCAAAAGCCAAGTGGTGAGGCTGTGGGCATGCAGATGGAAAGAAAGCCCCCCCACCCCACCCACCCCTTGCAAAACCCAGCCATTGCTACCAAGCAGGACTCACATTGTCAGAGAGGGCGACGTCACAACCAGGCGTGGCCAACAGCAGGCGGACAATCTCAGCGTGGCCGTGTTCACAGGCGCACATCAGTGCCGTAGAACCATCATCGTCTTGCAAATTGACGTCTGCTCCATTAGCCAAGAGAGCACGTACCATATCGAGACGGCCATGGCTGACAGCCAGCATCAGAGCCGTCTGACCAGCCTGCAGGAGTGGAGGCAAAGGAAGCAATGGCGTTATGTGAGAGCTAAATATCCGGGAAGGGCAGGCACAGCCCAAAGATCTGGCTCATAGACATGAGCATTAAGCACCAAAATGTGAAAGGAATGAATCCTGTGTTAAAGCATGATTCTGCCCCCTAAAAATCAGTACAGTATTTCATGTTCAACCTGTTTGGAATCTCCCCATCCCCCCAACCCTGCTCCAAATGTGGTGTTAGAAAAAGAATATCGAGACTAGAATTGGGTGTGTTTAGCCTGGAGCAGAAAAGATTGGAAGATGACATGAAAGCCATCTTCCTTCCTTCCTTCCTTCCTTCCTTTGTGAATGGATGTGCTATATTACACTTCCGAGTGACAACTGTATGTACGTGTGCATGCATGCATGCATGCATGTAATTTATTTTCATGCACAGGGGAAGCACTACATTGTAGTGGCGATGTGCGGATTAAAAAATTGGTGCGTCTTATGGAAATGGAGCGAAAAATACAGTAATTAAAAGTACCAACTTGACAGAAGAGAAAATAAACCAGGAAACCACAAATAAGCCATTCAATCAAAACTTTTGAAATACATTTACAGAAGTAAACATTTAAAAGGGCGGACTTGATCAAATTAGGCTTCAAACATTTGAAGGTTCAATCATTTCATGCAGAAGATGGGGCAAACATATTTTCTGCAGCTCCAGAGGGCAGGACCCAAAGCATGGGATCCAAATTCTGAGAGTAATTTGACCAAACATTAGGAAGAATGCCCAAATAGTAAAATAGGGTTGACAGCTAAAAATATGCCGAAACTGTACTGGAAGGCCACCGGCCAGTGACGCTTCAGTTGTGGATGTCCTGCTAATGACCTCTGGGGTCCCTTTTAGCTGTGCAAATTCTACAATTCTATGATTCTAAGAAAACCTGAAAATATTCTGTACAGTGTACATGCGTGTTTGTGTGTCTGTGCACTCACATATCAGCTCAGAGTGGAAGAGCTGATACTTTTGGCCCTTCTCCCTGGCAATATCAGGAGCCTTTACCTTGCTTCCCACCCCTGACTTGCACCTCCACCTGGTGTTTTCGGTACCTGGCTAGCTTTGGCATTGACATTGCCCATTTTCAACAGCTGCATGATGGTCTCCATATCACTCTCTGAACGAGAGGCTGCCAGTGCCGTCAGCATGATGGCGGTGTAGCCGGCCTTGTTCTGTTGGTCCACATGGCACAAACCTAGAACCACAAAAGAATCACTGGAGACACCCCGTGGGATCTAAAAGGCCCAGCAGTGCCAATAGCCACCCACCTTACCTACTCTCTTTTTAGAAATCATCAAGGAGATCTCACAGGTTTCCTGGAGAGCCAACTCTCACTATGAGCTCGTTCTTTATGCTCTTTTATGTCTTCTTTCCATTGCTTCTTGCTCAGAAGGTCCAAGCCCGTCCTTGAACCCACCTCCCCTTTCCTTAGCCTGGCGGTAGGCAACTTTGCTCCTCCAGACACTACAGGATGGCACCTCCCGCCACCTCTCACCACCAACTGTGCTGATGAGGGTTGTAGGAGAACAAGCACCCAGGCAGCCACAGTGGACGAGTTCTGCTTTAGCCCAGCCCCTTTGCCCACACTTCTGAAGACGGAAGATATCAGCTGCGATATAGGAGACCCAGATTCAAATCTCCACTCAGCCACGAGGCTCCACTGGGTAGTCTCCAGTGCCTTTCTTTCCTCCCCTCGTACACAACAGGGCCGCAATGAGGGCTGAAAAGGCCACACCCAGTTCCTTAGAGGCAGGATGGATAGGAATAGAACCAATCACTGAACTTCCTCACTGGGTAATCCCAAATATGAGCTTCCTCTGGTGCACAGCACTTCGGAACCCAAGGTCACAAAGTGTCTCGGAGGCTGTGGGGAAAGTGCTGCTCTGGGTAACCAACCCCCCCTCCCCCCCCAGCCCTACTCAAATGAGACCGCCCAGGATTCAACCTCTCCTTCGTTCCTTTGCGCTCACCTGTTTCAAGAAGCTTTGTGACCACAGGGAAGTTGGAATGCGAGACGGTGTAGTGCAGGGCTGTGTTGCCATTGGCGTCGGCCATATTGATGATGAACTCCAGCAGTGACGGGGAGATGGCCCGGAAAGCCTCCAAGTGCCGTGAGACCAATTCTGAATCGGCTTCCATGTGGCAGGAGAGTCTCAGCCAATAAGGGAGCACGGTGGTATATGCCACTTTCTACAACAACGTAGGGAAGAAAAGGCAGCATCTGTCAGGTAGGGAACGAGGACAACCTGGCTCAAATAACAGCACTTCTTATTTCTCCAGGGCGTGAGTACGTATGTCTTCAATGTGGGTTAACTAGCATGACTAGGACGAGTGGCTCTATGTTTCGCAGAAGGTTCCTGTGCAGATATCAAAGAGCAAGAGATTTCATTCCCACTATTCCCACTCCTCTCCAAACCATTGCTTTAAAGGAACGAACCTCAGCCTATAAAACCAGGAACCTGCAGCATGACAGACACGCCGCATGGGCTTCGCGAGCAAAAGCTATCTAACCTATTTAAGTTCTTATCCACCCCCCATTGCCCAAGCTCTGGAAATGGAGGGATACCATCTCTTCGTCCATGTGCACACTGGGGCTATCCAGGTATTTCTGAAGAACTTCACAAGCTGAGAGCAGTTCCTTGCTGAGTCCCATCCTAGTAATGGAAAGGAAAAGAAAAATGGCATGATATTAATTTTTGAAGAGAATCTATTGGCTGACGATGGCCATTTTTTGCACAATACAATGCGAATGAGCTTCTGTGAGCCTGTGAGAAGCAGCAGATTCAGGAGTAGCTTCTGGACCTTGTAGGGAGAGGGACAACTTACAGTTTATATTGTGGGGGGAAGAGGGGGTTCCTTCCATGAGCTGCCTATGCTTAGGCTTGTGGGAAATCTTGATTCCCTCTTCCCTTCTTCTGAGGCCAGAAGGATCACCTAAGGACCTAGGTTCACTTTTTCTGATTTTTGGCTTGTTAACTGCAAACCAGAACTTATGGCTTACAACAAATTCAGCAAATAAAATAAAATGTTTCTGCTTCAAGCCACCATTCCTGATTCGTATCTAATGGAACGCCAGAAACTGGGAAGACGAGAAGAGAATATTAGTTTATCCTTCCTCCCAGACATAATATGGGAAGGGAAATGGAATGTGCAAACCTCAGGCATTGCTTAGTGATCTAAGACTTGTCAAGGTAATGCTAAAGGCATGCCAAGTTGGCACCAAATGCAAAACATGCCACGGAGCTTTTCCAAGCAGAAAGCCGACATCACCGAAAAACATCATACAGCAAAATCCTTCCTTCTGTCCACAATGCCAGGCTCGAGGCCTGTCCCTTCTATCTCTTCTGACTACCTCAAGATCTTAGAATGTTAAAAAGATTTCTTTAAAAACAGCAATAGGTGACATGCATGGGTAGACACCCGGTTATCAATGTGTAGCCTGCATAATTAAATTGTAAACCGCCCAGAGAGTGCTTGAAGCACTATGGGGCGGTATATAAGCAGCACACTTTGCTTTTGCTTTTATCATTGATTCAGGGTGTTAAATTTGGCTTCTCCAGGGACGCAAACGCAGAGTCCCCTTGACCCAGCACGGGAAGAGGCCCACAATTATGGTTACCCAGTCTGGCTTGCTGGTTCGCTCCTGGGACCTTCGGTGGTGGGCCCTTCGCTTCCTTCACTGGGAGGGCCCGGGCGAGACGTGGCAGCCCCTGAAGGCTTTGGGAGTTCTCCTCCAGCCGCCTGGGCTGCCGGCAGCCCCTCGCTAGCCTCGTGGTATTCGCTCTCCGTGCTCTCATTGTCAGAGACGTTCTCCGCTGTGCTGGAGTCCTCTGAGGAGGTGGATTCGTACCTTGGAAGGAGGAGGAGGAGGAGCAAGAGTGGATGAGGAGAGGGAGGAGAAAGAGGAGCTGTGAATGATGCCTGCTCTCAGAGGGAAGGAGAATCTGGCTCCTCTGTGTGAGTGAAGGACTTCAGAAAAGAGTATTGGGGGCACCTGTTTGGGAAACCTGCAGGTCACACAGGCATTGAAATTAAATTTTTCAGGAGAGGATGAGTGGTGTTAATGAGGGAAGGGCAGTCCCAATGAAGGATCACAGCCGACCTGCTGTGGAAAAATATCACAACCCCTCATTACTGTGGTGTACCTGGGGGTGGGGCAGGGATACAGCTTTCCTACATTCCAGATTCAAAGCTAAAGCAAAGAACCTGGGAGGTGGGCAGCTGCCTTCTGACTGTTGCTTTCCCGAGGGAGACTCAAGAGCGGACCAGTAGGCCAAAAGAGTCGCCTCCATTCCGCTGTCAACAAAGAAGGGGAGCTGTTGTGTACCCGCCATTGACGCCCACAAACTGGAGGCTTTTCTTGCTGGCCAGAAGCTCCGTAGGCTCCTCCTTCTTCTTCATGATCGACCGTATCCCTGGGGATGCTGTGGGGAAGCAGAGGGAGGCAGCAGCGGTCAGTGGAAAATGGCAGCACAGGGGGATCCCAGGGCCCCCTCTCTCTCGAGACCCACCTTTCTCACCTTGGTCCTTGCCCTCACTTTGTGCCTCTGACTGATGCTCCCGGGACGGGGAGGGAACTGCTCGGTCCGCCTGGAGGGAATCAGGAGTCGAGCATTCAGCTTCCTCTAGTAACACGTCTGGCTCTGAAACAGGAGGAGGAGGAGGAGAAACAACAGCATTAGCTCTGGCCTCAGGCTCGTCACACACCCCTGTGTAGGTGTCTCATGGCTCCCGTGTGAAACTGAGCCAATTGCCCTGGCCTCCTTCTCAACCTTCAAACTTTTCTTCTGCGGAGAACATGGAGCTTTACCCACTTGCCCCACATTCACCCCATAGTCTTATGCTGCAACTGTGGAAAGTAAAAGGACCAAATTTTATTCTCACCGTTTTTTATTCAATTCATTTGGTGAGAGGGCAGTTTGCAAGGTTTGGGTGATGCAGATCTCTACCGAACGGAAAAGCCAACAGGCTATTCCAACAACAATGGGTTGGCAAATAAAAGGAAGGGGAAGCAGCAATTTCAAAGATTTTATTCACTGGCTTCTGCAAAGGTGACCCATCCAGGAGTACACCCACTTGTCAGCAGCCACTCTGAGCAACAGGCAGCTGGGGATGAAGGTGAGAAAGTTCCAGAGGTTGGAAAAGTGTTGCTACTTTTGGCCAACAATGTAGCTGTCCATCCTAGGGGATTCTGCATGTTCTAGTCCCAAAACAAACCTCTAAACCTTTGGGAAGTTGCATGCTCAAGGGAATTAGCACCCCCAAATTTCCTGAGAAAATGAACCCTCCCATATCAAGCTCTAATTCTCCCGTCCCCTTAGATCCCACTCTCACAGCAACAATAAATGTCTCTCTGTAGGGACCAGACTGGACGGTCAGGTGACCTCAGTACTTTCCCTCCTGCTTGGCCCCAGCTAGCCTGTTCTCCACCTGACCCCTGCCTTGCACATGCCACTCAGTGATGATGCAAAGGACCCAGGCCAGATGGAAGATCTTAAGTGCCTGTACTATGGAAGTGCCCAAAGAGGGTGAAGTTGTCCTTCCTTCCTTCCTTCCTTCTATACTATGGAAGTGCCCAAAGAGGGTAAAGTTCCTTCCTTCCTTCCTTCCTTCCTTCCTTCCTTCCTTCCTTCCTCCTGTGATCCATGCACCTGGATTTTGCCTTTTGCGCCACATCCTGTCCCCCAGGGCGGCCTGAAGAGAAATGAGAGAATTCTACTTCTATAATGGGGGAGCCCACAGCCTTCCATCGAGTGTGGGCTCCAGACGTCCATCTGCCTTAGCCAGCCTGCCCCCATGGCCAGTGAAGATGGGAGTTGCAGTCAAACAACATGAAGTGTGATCCATGCACCTGGATTTTGCCTTTTGCGCCACATCCTGTCCCCCAGGGCGGCCTGAAGAGAAATGAGAGAATTCTACTTCTATAATGGGGGAGCCCACAGCCTTCCATCGAGTGTGGGCTCCAGACGTCCATCTGCCTTAGCCAGCCTGCCCCCATGGCCAGTGAAGATGGGAGTTGCAGTCAAACAACATGAAGCCACGTGTTCTCTTCCCTGATTCTAATCCCTAAAGTAACACCAATGCTATATGAGAAATTGTCCTGCAGGTCCCATTCCCCTGGCACGCTCAGGCCCAGGTAACCAAGGCAAGAAGGGTGCAACCTGTAGTCCTCAAGATGATGGCCATTGAATGCAGTCTCTTCCTCACTCCTAGCCAGCCTTGTGCATGGTAAAACACAAGGGCAATCTCAGCTCATTAGCATCCCAAAGGAGGAAGGAGGAAAGAGAATGAAGGAGAATCCACTGCCTCCCCCCAGGCTGTCTGTTTCTGCTGTTGAACAGCTTTTACTGTCAGTGTGTTCTTCCTAATGTTTAGTGGAAATTGCTTCTCTTATAATTTGGACCCATGAGTTTTGAGCCATGTCTTCTGAAGCTAGAGAAAGCAAGCTTGCTCCATCTTCCACATGCCAACCTTTCAAATATCTGAAGATGCTACCTCTCAGTGTTCTCTTCTTTAGGTTAAACATGTCCAGCTACGTATGTCAAGTGTTCCTCAAAGGTTTGGTTTCAAAGACCGGATACCCTCCTCTGGACGCATTCCACCTTGTTAACATCCTTCTTAAATTAAGTCTCCTGGACCGAGCACAGTATTCCCAGTGAGGTCTAACGAAAGCACAACAAAGCCCTACTATTAATTTGGACACGATGCTTCTGTTGATGCAACCTGGCATCGTCTGCATCAGTACCAAGCTCTAGGTCACCAACTTCTAGCCAAGGACTTTTTTGGACCTGTAGCCCTTCAGATGGCACTGCACTAAACTTCTTCCTCAATCCTTGCCAGCCCCCTCAATGGTAAGGCAAGAAGGCAATCAAGCTCCTCTGCATTCTGAGGGCCAAAGCTCCCCCAGTCCTTCTCCAGGCCTTTATCCCAAGGTGGCTACCAGTTGGCCTGCAGCCTGGAGGGGGAGCTCTGCCATGATCTACCCAGGCAGGGCGCAGAACACACCCAGCATCATGGCAGAGCACTGGGAAAGACCACGGCTTCTCGCTGGGTTCTCCGGAGCTCAAGATGGTTCCCGATTTGTGAGAGCTTCCCCATTTGTTCACTGGAGCTTCCAATAATGTTTTCACTCCAGAACCTTTGATCTCACCCTGGGAACTTCACAGGCTATTTTGAGAGTTTCTCTTTCCCCGGCTCTTGCTATAAACAGCTGGTAAAAATCAACATCTTGGATACACCATCTTTTAATAGAAGAGCTGCTGTACAGGAGGGGGTGGGGTGGGGAGAGAGGGAGAGGGAGTGCTTTGCCATAGATTTGCAGGTCATAGAGTAAACACAAAGACAACTCTTTTTTTTTCTTTTTCTTTTTTTACGGTGGGCCCAGACGAGGGAGAGAAAAGGATACTGGTTGTAGCTTTTTTCTTTCCTTGTTGATTGGCCAAAACTTGAACTCTTCTTCCTGGGAGACCATTTGTTTGGCAGATTTTTGGCAGCAGGAATGAAGCCTGTATGGGTTTATTTTAACCTGATTTTACAGTTGTTGAGTGTTTAATTCTGTGGGTCAATTGTAAGCATACACCTAACATTCTTCAAGATAGTGCTGAGACTTCCAGTGCAAAGGCAAGCTTGTTGCCAGGTGTTTAAAGTTATGCCACATAGGTTCAAGGCCCTAAATTGACTAACAATTACAAATGCTAATTTGGATATCTAGGCAGAAAAAAGATACTGGCACACTGAAAATTGCTAGAATTTACTTAAATCTGACAAAAACAAAAGAGCTACAGAGAGGGCCTCTGAGAATATACAGATTGCTTTCCCCTCATCACTGTGCGTTTACAGTTTTCTTTGTTCTTCACGTATGTGCCACATAGTATTACAGGCTTCAGTATTTCCACTTTAGAGACCAAGCATTGACCACACCTCTTGCGAGGCTACAGTATCACACACATTCTGTTCCCTTCTTATTTTTCCTTTCTGCAGCCACTTGTTGTAAGTTCTAGTATTTTGTGACTGTTTTGTAACCTTCCTATAATCCCTCCTTGTTATGAGCAAGCTTTCCTTGACCCCCTCCTCCCTTCAGCTTAACTTGTGCCAAGACTTCATTGACATTTAACGACAAAGTCTGTTTTCAATACTACTGTTTTCAAGGCAGAAAACACGCAGTTCAGTCTCTGGGCAGATCTTCGTGCTTGTCCGCCACTGCTGATGCTAGAGTCCATGCAAAACAAGGGAAACACAAATGACAAAATGTGCATATGAGAGAGGGGAAAGCACCAAGTCTGTGGTTGGAAAAGGGGTGTATACGTTTCCCTTGAATTGTACAGGTCTGAATAGCACAGTTTTGGTTATGCACAGATTCTTTTTTTCAATAAAAGAGTATTCAATAAATACTGTGTCTTTGGTCACCCAGAACCAGGGACATGAGTTCAACACTGAAGGTGTCGTAATAGTGGTCTCCTTGCCCCCAAACACAACAGCTCTAATTCAGCCTCTAGAATAGATCGAGGGGTCATCAGGACCTTTAAGGCCCATGACATACAGTACTATATGGAAACTGCAGTACGGAAAAGATTGTCAGCGCAATGGAAGAGAACCTTGATAGAGAGAACTGGTGTGTGTGTGTGTGTGTGTGTGTGTGTGTGTGTGTGTGTGTGTGTGTGTGTGTAGGAGTGTACAATTTATACCCTAATGGCATGCACATACAGGAGGACTGACACCTGAGTAACCATGGAGCAGATCAGGCTGCAAACCACACTAAAATGCATCTTCAGCTGGAACACTACATGTATGATTTATTTATTTATTTATTTATTTATTTTGGAGTATGCCCTGCTGAACACATCGTTGCAAACAGGAGCTGTATTCATCTCTCCCCTTCCCTGTATACTGATAATTAAGTCCCAGGTGGTGATGAACAGGAGCTGTACTCATCTCTCCCCTTCCCTGCATACTGATAATTAAGTCCCAGGTGGTGATGTTTAAGCTTGCAATTCCATTGCTGGAGAACTATGGCAAAAGAAGTAGCCAAGAACTCTTCCTCTGCAACTGCATGGAACCACTTTCATGGTAAAAGGCCTTTAACCATTCAGAGTTGGTCAAGGAGGAGGGTGGGGGGAAAGGGCTTCTTGCTTGCCTGTTGAAAGCCATGTACAGCTCACAACTGCTCTCACTTGACGTTGTCCTCTCTTGAGCTACTACGTTCAGAGGTCTTCAGAGTAGGTGGCCATGTTAGTCTCCTGCAGCAAAAGCAACTAGGAGTCTCTTGGCACCTTAAAGACTACGTACCACGTTTTATTTGGCACAGGCTTTTCATATACTAAAATCCCCTTTGCATGCATGCATGTATTTATTTATTTATTTACGTTTTATTTGGCACAGGCTTCTCATATATTAAAATCCACTTCTGCGTGCATGCATGTATTTGAAGAAGCAAGCTACAGTCTGCAAAAACTAGTGACAAATGGGGGTTGGTTGTAAGATGCTACAAGACTCCATGTTGTTTAAGTTCAGAAGGTTGCATCAAAGCAGATCTGTGGAAGAGTTTTGAAACTTTGGGGCAGGGATTCTGGCATGTATTTTTTTCCTTCCCAACCAGTAATGGCCATTCAACAGGAGAGTAACATATCTAGGCCACATATAATAGATGGGGGAGCACAGACTTAGCAAGAGAAAGAGATGTTATTTCTTCTCCCCTCATGGCAAACTTTGTGTTTGTGCGCGCATATGTGTGTGCACATGTGTGTGCACGTCTGCATGCGTGCGCGTGCACTCATGCAACATCTGCATGTCTGGCATAGGAGAAAGTTATGGAAAAGGCCGTTAACCATTCAGATATTAAAATTACAATTTTGGCCTACAACAACTCTCAAGTTCTACCTAATGCCATTATTTTGTTGTATTATTACCTCTCCTGAGTACTTGATGGAAACACAATTCTAAAAAGAAGTCGCCGTAGACACCCAAATATTCTCCTGCCAGCGGTGTGACTACATGCTCCTCACCTCTAATTCCACCTGAGCAATACATGCTTCACACACCCAGACCACTGGCTTACCTGCCATTTCTTGTTTTCTATTCCCATCCTCTTCTGTGCCAGCGATGCTGATCTTCTTCACAGAGTGAAATGTGGAAACTGTGCTGACTGGTCCAGCATGGAACGGGAACGTGGTCTCCATCACCTCATCACTGCGATAGGTGGCACAGAGTGGCATTTTCGCTTCCTCGGACACTGTATCTTTGCTGGCCAACGCTCTGAGACTAGCATAGGGCTCCTTGTTCTCCAGGGTTTGAGCCCTCTGGGGTCTGTGGTCCACCCCTGTGGCCGTGCTGGCCGCGATCTCTGGCTCCCTTTCCACTTGGACCACCTTGACCGAGTCCACCAGAAGGGGGGCCTCTGGGGACCCCTGGAGAGCTGCATTACTCCATGGCTCGGGACCTTTCCCCCCTGCTCCCCATCCTATCAGGCCACTGTCCTCTGTGCACGTTTCTTTGTCTTCCTGCTCCCGGTGTTGGTGCTCCAGTTTCTGGTGGGCAGCCTGGAGTTCCTGGAGAGCCCTTTTTAGTTGCGTCTCCAATACAGCAATCTTGGTAGTCAGGGCCTGAACCGCCTGGCGCTGCCGCTCTTCCTCCGGGGAGGGCAGTCCCAGCTCCTCCTCTCTCACCACCACCCCTATGTCGCACTTCCTCACTTCCTTGCTCGGCTCTCCATCCTCAGCCAACATACCCACACCTACGGACCTCACTTCCTTCTTGTCGAGCTTGACCCCCGTGTCGGGTTTTGCGCTGCCCTCTCCTGCGTTCCCACCTGCCCCCTCCTCGGGGATGTCTATATAGAGTTCCCCCCTAGATTTGCCCTTCCCCAAGCCCCCCGGATGCCCCAAGAACTTTTGGCTCTTGAGCTGAACGCTAAGCTGCCGCTTCTCCTCCTGGAGCACTGAGATCTTCACCTGAAGCACTGGGATCATCTTGACCTGCTCTTCCAGCTGGCGTAATTTCTTCAAGGCCACGGCCATCTGCTCCCGGACATGCTGGAGGTGCCCTGGGGTCGGTGAGACTGGGGTGGACAGCCCAGAACCAATGGGTGTGTATTGTCCAGAGACCCCTGGCTGCGAGCCATTGTAAGAGGTCTGGCGGGAAAGGCACTGACTTCCCACCAGGGAGCTGGTTGATCCAGATACGCTGCTGTGGAGGCTTCCGAGGCCGCCTGCCCTGGACCTTTCCCCATCTCCTGAGTCGGCCTGGTCTTCTAGCTTCTTCCTGGCATCTAGCAAGGTCTTCTCCACGCGGGCATTGAAGCTGCCTGCTGTGGCGGTGGGGTACTGTGGGTAAAAGCTGCGCCCACAGTAGGAATAGGAAGAGTGCCGACTGTCCATGCTGATGTTAGAGCAAAGGGACTCCGTGGAGGTCCACCATGAGCCAGTATAGCCATAGCCCCGTGGCAGTGAGCTGTACCGTGGCCGGCGGTGGACTGGAATGCGCTTAATGGTGTGGCCCTTCTCAATGTCATCAACATACTTCAGAAAGTCCAGGTCCAGCCGATAGCCATAGGGAGTCTCTACTGAGTAAGGCAGGTCCTGTTCCTTCCCATGAAAGGCGGCAGCGGAAGTGGGATTGGGCTTCCCTGAAGAACACAGGAGAAAGCCATTAGTTCACTACATTCTCTTCCTGTGTAAATTTAACTGTCTTGTGAAGATACTGCTCATTTTCAAGGCTGGGGTCATTAGATCTTTACTTAACAAAAATGCTGGCAGTGTGTGCAGATCTATTTTCAGAGGGCCAGACCCATTTGCTCTGTGTCTTGTTCATGCACCAAATTCCCTTTGAAGCCGTTAGAATGTTTATGATTATCCTGTGGTATCACAGCAACTTTCCCAATGAAACAGCATAAATCAAGTGAAGCAGAGGTCTTGCAACCTCATTCAAAGACTGCAACCTGCACTATCCCCATTTTAGAGCTAGTTTTTTGCTGCTTTCTTGGCAGATCAGCCTTTAAAGATATATGTATATAGACTTTGCAAAGCTAAAATGTTCAGAATTTTAGTTGATAAGCTTCATCTTCACCTTGAGTTCTACCATATATGCCTCACTTGGTTTTGAAATCTTCATCAAAGACCTTCTCTCTGTCCAGACACCCTTAGAAATAAGAATGTGGCTATCTTTTTGATGTGGAACTCTCCTCCAAGAAAGGCCAGGCTGGACTCCTCCCTGCTGTCCTTCTGCTGGCAAGCAATAACTTTTGCACTGGCTAACTGCTAAGGATGAGCTGGCTGGATTGCTCAGTGGGACAGGCATCTGGCTGTGGAGGCAGAGGCCGTGAGTTCAATTCCCCCATATGTAGCCCAGCACGGTCAGCCTATGTGGCCTTGGGCAAGCTTCACCATTCCAGGGTGCCCCCAGAGGAAGAGAATGGTAAACCTTGTCTCTACAGCAGTGGTCTCTGTTACATACAGCACTGATGTTTAGAACCATCTGTACCTAGAAAATCCTGGAGAGGCTCACCATAAGTCAGAATTGACCTGACGGCATACAATTATTATTTACTGCCAAGCACAGACTTTTGGGACCATGCATGCTTTTTAGTTTTTATTCATTTTAAGGTGACTTTAAGCTGTTTAAATTCATGTTTTAATGTTTTAATGCTTAATTGTGCTTTAATTTTATAGCTTACTTTGTTTTTATCAGCTTGTGATGCACCTTGGATCCCAGTTCTGGTGAACAGAATTAACTGATTGATTTGATGGATCAATTAAATCCCTCTAATTGGATGTCAAGTGCCAGAATAGCTTATTAGAGATAAACACCTATACAGACAGAATATAATACACTGTCAGCAGCTACTAAGGTCCCTTGATTTTATTATGGATCTGCCTTCATGTAGAAGCTTTGGAAAACACTAGACATCTTTCAAGAACGGCATAAAAGCTCAAGAAATTTTAAATGTGACAAAACGCACATTCAGCAGAAAAGTTCTGAAAATGTTTGCACAAACGCCGTTACACATTGCTAAAAATACAATATTTCTTATTTAAAACCAGTACTTCTCTGAGTACTAGGTGCTAAAAGGGAAACAAGAAGAACAAGAATACTTTTTATGGTTAGCTGGCTGGCTAGTTTGAGGAAATATGGAGACGGGCAGAACGTGCCACTCTTCGTCCAAAGGTACAGTCCACATGCTCACCTGGGAACGCAGTCTCCATGTGTAGAACCTGGGCCATTTTAAATCCTGGTTCCAAATCACAGGCACGTTCAAAACAGCCAAGAGATTCTCAAAGGACAGACGCAATCAGCTTAGCCTGCAAAAAAGAGAATTACGGGACATGTTAGGCCAATCCGCATCTGGCTGAGGCAGAGAAGTCTGGACGAAGAAAGGGCCGTTGGCTTCCTGCATAAAATCTTGTCACGATGGGCTGCTATCAGGCAAGTTTTGACAGAAGCTCTGGCTAGTGCCCCTCTGTTATGACACTCAATAGATTCCCAAAACTGGGAAAAGTAATCCCTGCCCCTCCCAAGTTATAACTCCCGGAGTCTCCCACTAAGCATGGATGGCGTGGAGAGAAGGCAGGCTCAGAGTGGCAGCTTCAAAAGGCCTTTCTCTCAAGAACTGCCTTCCGTCAGGGCCAGGCTTGCGCCCGGTGCCACCCTGAATTGGGGGAGGGGAGACCTAACTATTCCCTTGTCTAGAGTGTTTTTTGCACACTTCCCAAGAAGCTTCCACTGGGTTAGTTCTCCCACCCAGCCTGGTCACCATTTAGGTCCTTCTCTTTTACAAGGAACATGAGCTGTCTAGGAGAAACAGTGTAACCGGCTCCAGCCAGCTTCCTGGCCAAAGGATAACATGGATTTAGTTCCAAAACAGAGCATGGAGAAGTTACCCTTTGGGGTTGCCAAGACCAAAACATTGCCTACAAGCTCTGGTCACTAGCTAGAGAGAGCAAAATAATCCTCACACTGTTTCTGACTCCACTGTCAGCTCTCATCCACATGGAGAGCGGGGGGGGGGAGAGGATTTTAGCCCTCTAAACCAACAGGTAATTCGGCTGGCTGCATAAAATGTTGTTAGGAATGGTGAACAAACAAGCTTTGACAGTACTAACAGATGTTAGTCGCCTTCATCATGTCATATGCTGTTACAAAACATGCACCAAAATACACATACCAGGTAGGCATTACACAGCACTGGTATTTGAAGAGTTAGAAACAATGTCTGGAATTTTATTAAGTGTTCATGTAAGGTTTGTGTAGCCTCTCATGGCTGATTGACAAGGTGCCAGGGTACATCTCAGGGCACTAATACACTGATGATAAAACTACTTTGGAATCAAGTTTTGCATAACTGAAATTGATTTGAAAAATCCCAACTATACGACACATGGCAATGCCTGCTCTCTTTTTTTTGGCCACAAAGCAAGTTTTTTTAAAAAGAGGCTGGCAGGGGCTTTTTAATTTAACAAACTTGTGAAATCAATTCTTTATGAACCACTTCGGACCATGTGAACACTCCTGTCATATTAAATACTGCCTTTGTGAGTGGTTGCGGGTTTCAGAAGTAAAGCCACTTATAATTTATTTTTTAAAAAAGGAGAAAGAAAGCACGCCTTCCAAAGGATGCCCGAAAACTGAAGAAATACTTCACAACTTTGTAAACAAATGGGAAAGAAAAGGTTGCAATCATTGCAATTTATTTTTTAAAAAAAGAGAAAGAAAGCACACCTTCCAAAGGATGCCTGAAAACGGAAGAAATACTTCACAACTTCGTAAACAAAATGGGAAAGAAAAGGTTGCAATCATTGGCAATGCTCCAGGATCAATGGCAATGGTAACCACAGGGTTCTGCAAACATGCAGGTTAATGAAACAATTTAAAACCTCACGTGTAGTTTCCTGAAGTAGTTTTAAAGCCTCTACTGTACTTTATATTGAAGCAACAATTTTCAAAGTGAACACACACAGCGATACAAAAACCTAGTTTCCTGAAGTAGTTTTTAAGCCTCTACTGTACTTTATATTGAAGTAACAATTTTCAAAGTGAACACACACAGTGATACAAAAACCATGTGACTGAAAATCAATTTAAAATACATCAGAGCTGAAACCGATACCGATCACGCCCTCAGTTGGTACAATCAAGCACGTGACTGAGAACGTGACCCAGGAAATGTAACTGCGATGTGCTCCATCACTTAGCCGCAATTAGCTATGCCAAGATACACAAGACCCCATGTCACCAATAAGAATATGGCCACTCAGCCATTTGCCATGTATAGATTTTTCTCTTTAAATTAGACTAAAGGGGCTGTGACAAAACCTGTTTAAAAATACTTTGCTTTTTGCCACTAGGCTATGAGTAAAGAAGTAACACTCTGTATTTATCATCAGGTTTATCATCATTCTTCATCCCTGCTCAGACCTGGAAAAGTGTGTGTGTTTGTGTGTGTGTGTGAGTGAGTGAGTGAGAGAGAGAGAGAGAGAGAGAGAGAGTGAGAGAGAGTGAGTGAGAGAGAGAGAGAGTGAGAAAGAGAGAGATGGTAGAACCACTCCTTAAATAGCTCACATACTGGAAGAACCCTATGAATGAGGACCACTCAAAGTCAGATGTAACTTGATTGCACATAACAACTATCTTCAATATATGAGAATCCTGACTGTGTCCAAAAACAGAACACAGCTCAGTGCATTTGTTTAAAAAATAATAATAAACCACCCAGATGAGTGTTAGAGAGTGTAAAGCCAGCTTAGGAAGACCAGGAGACATAACATGTCAGATATCTGTGAAGATTCTTAGTCATCCAGGTATGGTTATCTGGAAGCTGAGTCAAGGCAACTGGACTTCTTTCTTGTTAGGTTGAAATGTTTCGCTACTCATCCAAGAAGCTTCTAATGAGCCTATTTAGACCAAGGGGAAGTGAAACCAACATGGAGGATATACTGTATCAGGGATCTCCTACCAACTCTCCTCAGTCTGAAGAAGTTTCTTGGAGGAGTAGCAAAACATTTCAACCTAACAAGAAAGAAGTCCAGTTGCCTTGACTCAACTTCCAAATGGCCAGGAAGGTGCGTCGGCAAGGCAGAGGTGTTGCTGTGTTGATCCCATTTGCACCTCAGCGTCTGACCTCTGAGGTTGCTGCCTCACTCTGCCTCATGTTAGGCCACCTCTACCACCTTATGTCAGCTCCACCACACAGCAGGACTTCAGTAATACTAAACTACTCTTTTAGGACATGTTAAGAATAACATGACTAAACTAAGACCTTTCGTCAGGGGTACCTCACTTTCTGAGTTGAGGAAAGAATGGCAGTACTAACATGGGGTGGAGGGCTCACTAAAATTTTGGGGGCCCCTTTCTTGTTCTGGCCACAAGTCACCTCGCCCTTTCATAACCAAGTAATAATCAAGCAACTATGTGAAACACTTCGAAAATGGACAGGAAATTTCTCTCCTCCTCCTCTGTAGACACACAACTATTGGTGGGAAGGAAAGAAGAGAGGTGCGTGGAGCAGTGGAGGCGTGAGAACAACGGCCCATCAGCATCCTGACAGGGCAAGGAGCCCAAGGCGTGGGACAAAAGAAAGGGGAGGAGGGGTCTTCAATGGTGGTCATTGTTTCCCACTAACTAGCCCTATCTTAGGTTGCATCTTGCTCGTATTCTTGCATTTGTGGGAAAATCACAGAAAGCCATGAAAATTCCTTGCCTCTTTATCCATGTTCTCATTTCTGACCTCACATTTTCTGGCTAGAAAGTACGACCACAAGGACGGCTGAGGAAAGGGGTGGGGGTGGGCCAGGAGGATCCTTCTGCATTTTCTCTCCTCCCCTCCACCCCGTTTCTGAACCCGGCACTCCAGCCGTGCCGCTGGGTCAGCAGATAAAGTCTTGTGCTTTCTCCAGCTTCCTTCTGCGCCAAACCCTCAAAGCACCAGACAGTCCTGCTGCCTCAGCCTGTTCCAGCCGCCCCACTCCCTCAGCAATTCCAGCCAAGGCCTGGCAGATAGGAAGGCTGTGGGACCCCTTCCAGTCAGAATTCCTGTGTCAAAGGAGAAGGAGTGCCTCAGAGTGAAGAAGAAGAGCTGAGGCCTGGAGTGGGAGGCGCCCCGGGACTCCAATTCCAGGCAGCTAGCCAGGGATGAATCTCGAAAAAAGGAAGCGCTGGATCTCATGTTTGCATTGAAGTTACACAGCATATCCTCTGGAAGCTCTAATTTCCCCATATGAACATAATGTGTTGCAGAGTTTTTGAGTCACTGCTAAAATTCTCTTTTTACTACACTGTAGAAGTACAGCGTTCTAGAGAGAAGAATAGCTACAGATACCCAGAGTCCAACCTTCTCTCATTAACTGGCACTTACAACTCTTAATGACTCACTCTGAGACATTTGTAGGAAAAAGAATAAAAAATGTTTCTTTACATATACAGTGGTGCCTCACATAACGAGCGCACCGTTTAACGACGAATTCGCATAGCGATCCGTTTTTTGGGATCGCTAATGCGATTGCATACCAATGCCTAGATAGGCAAAAACTCGCTTTGTGACGATTGGTAAGTGTTACGCTTACCGATCTTCGCATAGCGGTTTTTTAAAATCAGCTGTTCGGCAGTTCCGAAAAGGCTGCCGGAACACCCAAAATGGCCGTGCGCAGCGTTTTCGCGCCCTGCCCTCGCTTACCGAGGGCGCGAAAATGCCTGCGCTATGGAGGAACATCGCATAACGGTGAGTTTTGGGCCCATTTGGAATGGGCTTTTCTGTTCCGTATAGCGATGTTTCCCCATAGCAATGGTTAATCCGGAACAGATTAACCTCGCTATGTGGGGCACCACTGTAGTTGCTTGAAATTACAGACTTGTGTATACTACTTTCTTTGCTGCGCACATACTAGCAACCGACTGAACAGATCAACAGTCGCAAACAACTGCCACCTGTCAACCAAAGAGAGAGACAGAACACTCAGCAGATAGGCGGGGCTCTCTTCTGAATCCAAAACCTGGAACAATTGGTTAGTGCTCAATACACTCACCCTAGCCTAGAAAAAGTCCCTCCTAACCACTCATACTACAGAGGATGTTCAAGGATGTAAATAAAATTCCAACAGGACATTGAAGATGAAAGGGGACTCTTAAAAACAAATCTGCCAAATGATGTAACAAAAAATAATGCCAGTTGTACACATGGACGTGAATCCTGAATGTGTTTTTTGTTTTCTGCATTTTGTGCCCTTTCTCGAAATGTCAAATTATGAATTTGGGCAAGGTTGCTCAAAGCAGCCAAACCATCTGGATGAAAGGACATATGAATCCCATC